GTTGCATCCATTTTCCTACAAATTTCAAGTTGTCACTGTTTTTTTTTTAATCAATAAGTATACTCCATTGAGTATATGTACCACATTTTCTCTATCCATTTTCTGTTGAGGTTGTTCCCAGGTTCTGGCTATTACAAATAATGCTGCTATGAACACAGCTGAACAAATGTCCTGGTATGAATGTGTACCCTTTGAGTATATGACCAAAGTGGTATTGTTGGTTCTTAAGGTATATTGTTTCTCAATTATCTGAGAAGTCACCATACTGATTTCCAAAGTAGCTATAGAAGTTTACACCCCCACAAGCAATGGAGGATTGTTCCCTTTACTCCACATCCTCTTTAGCATAAGCTGTCCTCGCAGTTTTTTATCTTAGACATTCTGAAAGGTATAAGATAGTATCTCGGAGTAGTTTTGATTTGTATTTCCCTGATGGCTATGGATGTTAAGCAATCCCTTAAGTGCCTTTTGGACATTTGAGAGTCCTCTGTTGAGAATTCTCTATTTAGATCTGTACCCCATTTTTAAATTGGATTGTTTGGTATTTTGGTGTGTAGTTTCTTGAGTTCTTTCTATATTTTGGATTTAAGTCCTCTGTCAGGTATGGGACTGATGAAGATATTTTTCTAGTCTCTAGTCTGTTGTGTTGTCTTGTTGACTGTGTCCTTTGCCTTACATGAGCTTCTCAGCTTCAGGAGTTCCAATTTATTAATTGTTGATCTCAGTGTCTAGGCTACTGGCGTTATCAAGTAGGCTTCATCCCAGAGATTCAGGGATGGTTCAATATATGAAAGTCTTTCAATGTAATTCACTATATAAACAAACTGGAAAAAAACCGCACATGATCATCTCATTAGATGCTTCAAAAGCCTTTGACAATGTCCATCACACCTTCATGATAAGGGTCATGAAGAGATAAGTAGGTAACATGAAGGCATTTTTTTCTACCTTGTTCTTGTAAAAATATAGTGAGCAAACAGTCTTTTAAAGCAATAATCATAATAGGCCATCCTTTAGGTAATAGAGAAGGTGGGGGAATTATAGGCTGTAAAGAACACATTGGCGGAATCACCTTATTAACAGTTATTAGAAATGTTACCATTTTCCAGATTTCTTTTTAATAACAAATAGAGGAAAACTCCAAGTACTGGTGAATTTTTCAATATGTTGAGCATTTAGCTGCTCTTGTGCCAGAAGTTCAAATGTCTGTAATTTTTTGTGATGTCAAAGGCCATTGTTTCACCCAGACAGATTGGTCAGTTAACCATTTTAAAGGTAGTGCTCTTGCTACCTTTGAAATATCAACAGCTGTTATGACCTGTTTTTGTACAACCTAAATGATCAATGGCTGTTCTTCATAACACCTTTTAATATTTTTTCCAGAAACATAAATTAGCTTATGGTTTGTTTCTGACTTTGGAGGGATTTTAATCTGGGTATTCTGTTGCTGTAACAAATCATATTCCCATAAATTCATTGCTATGTTAGCCACATGTGGATTTAATTTACCTCTCTGACTTCTGGCCCTATACATCTTGTACTTCATCTTACATGAAATGAAGTTCCAGTTCATAGAAGCCTTATATGTAACTCCTGAAGAGGCCAATTTTGATGCCTTGGAGTAATTGTTACATCTTTCTCTGTGTCTACCAGATCTTTAATGACAATGTTATTTGCATTTTTAACTTTGGTCTTTGATCATTTATAGAAATTTGGCAAAATATTTACTTTGTTATTTCTCCTGAAAATTTTTTCTTCTAAAGCTGTTCTATCATTGATAGCACCATGTTTTGTTTTGGTTTTTTTCCCAATAGGTATTAGGTCCTTTAATTCTCTAGAGAAGTTGTTTCCTCCATGGTGACAGGTAATGACTGAACCAAATTAGACATGGGGGCCCATGAGAGACCCCCCAAGTTGTTTCCCAATGGCAATGGGTTGCCTATCTGTCCCTTGTTGATCTGCATGCATTGGTCCAATGTAGACCTTTGACACATCTGCATACTCCAGAAGAGAAGGCCCTTTGTTTGGATTAGAAGAAACATTGTTTCTAGGAATGCCCTGTCTACAATGTCTTTTTAGGTGACCTTATTTGCTACAATTAAAACACCTGAGATTTTGACTTTTTTAAGCCTCTGGAAATCACCTCTCTTATCTAAGCATCATCATGGTAATGAGCTTAAATATTGACTCTATCTTGGATCCATTCTTGTATGGGTGCTGATCTTGCGTGTAAAGGCATAATTACCCTTTTGTTTTGTGAATTATCATTTCAAAAGGCAATGATTCAATTATTATTTTTCTAGCTTCTGAATTTGTTATCATTCCATTTGCAGCTGAAATCAATCTTTGAAAAAATCAGTGAAGCTTTCTTTTGGGCCCTGTGTAATTTCAGTAAATGACTTAGTTATCTTTTCAATTTCTTCAATTCTGTCCCAAGCATACAAAGCTGCTGTACAACATAATGCCAGGGTGTGGTAATTATATAGAGACTGTCTTTGTATGTCAGTACAATCACACTCTTGAAGAAGTTGGTCTTGGGAGATTTCAATACCTGTAGCTCTATTTTGTTGTTCAATGGTCCTACCCTCATCTTTCTACCAGGTTCTCCATTGCAATTGAGGACCAGGTCCCAATACTGCTGTAACCAAGAGTTTCCAATCTTGTGGGAAGATTCTGTTACTAGTTAACCACATTTAACTTCTGCTTCACAAAAGGTGAGTGCAAACTATATGAGTCTATGACTGTTTTAATCCCCTCAAATCTAACATTTTCACAGGAATCCAGTCAACTCTTACACAGCCTTGGTGATATCTATCATTTGGTAGCTGTTCTCTTATGATGACTGCAAAAGTAAAGTGGTTGTTTGATAACCTTGGGCTGTTCCTGTATAATTTTATAATGTACTCTTCAGAATGGGTCTCCTTTAAATTTCCAAGTTTGTTTTAACTCCTATTATCTGTTTTAGTATGTTTTTGTAAGGTTTGTAACATAGTAAGCAAATTTCATTATTTTCATTTGTAATTAGTTGTTGGGATTGCATATTATCATTAGTAACCCTTTCTAAGATCTGCATTTTAGGAATAGAAAGTTTTTCTAAGGATTGTATCATATCAGTCAGTTTTTCATATTTGGCAGTGATATCCACCTATGGGTTTAGGGGGAGAACAAGAATTACCAAGCTGATAATGATTATAATTGAGATTACACAAATCCCACCTAACTTAACTATGCCCCAATTTAATTTTTCTATTTTCAAACCATCCAGCGTTTAATTATACAGAGACCTAACTCCCTCCATCATAATACTGTTTCCCATTTTTTTAACATAAGAAAACACTCTTTCCCTTTTTAAAATCTAATTCCTCTCTTTAAGAATTCCCGTCTCACCAAATCTGGTGACAATGTGTCAGGCTGACTGCTGCTGCATAGCCGTGTGTGTAAGTAGATAACACAGGCGGTGCACAGTCTGGCTGAGGGCAACTGCTGATGATCACCTGTCAGCAGCCTGAGGAGGGGGTCCAGGCAAAGCCCACAACCCATATGTGTGAAGGAAGCAGAGAGCCAGCCATCTCCATGGGGGAGCGTGTGAGCAGCACAAGTGACCAGAGGGATGTGAAAGGACAGGACTGGCAGGTGGTGAGGGGCTAATTCCAGTGGTGTTTGTAGCTCACAAGACCGTGGCATTTGGGGATTCGGTCTTCCTGTAGAAAGGCTGAAACAGGAAAATCCCAGACTTGCTCCTAGGGCTTTACGAAGAAAGGGAAAACCTAGACAGTGGTGTGGTGACTCTGTAGGCAGCTGCTGGTGGCTCCAAAGCTGTAGGCAAGTGGCTGCCTGGGAATTCATGCTCCAAAAGTTGGATGTCAGATGAGGTGTACATCTAATTAATCTCATCAGTGAAAACCAGGAGTCAGATATCAGGGTAAACCCTAAAAGATCAGAGAAGCAGCAGAGCAGCTACAGTTACCTCCTCTTTCATAACTCCAGTCAAATAGGGTCAGGATCCTGTCTCCACATGCCCTATTATTTCCTGTTTCCTAGACCTTCCAGACCTCTAGGTTTAACTAATGGTTACCTCTGCCCTCTGACTTCAGGCAAGCTTATTAATCAGAACACAAACAAAATCATTATCGCCACACTGAGGCCAGCTTGGGAGTCATAATTCCACTGCATTAGAGACAGCACCCTCTCTTCTTGGTTTTAGTCAGATAGGGCTGACTTCAGTATTGAACAGAAGACTATCAGAAATCAGCTTGTCCATAAGGTTTTCATAGATTTTCACTCAGTACACAGACAGGCAGCATGGTAAGGTGGTTTAAGACACACCTTGGGAAACAAGAGTGCTTTCATCAAGATTCCTTAGATGTTATAACTTGAAGCCTGGTAAAGTCTTCCTCTGCCTTTATTTCTGTGAACTCATGGGGCAATATTTGTTATGACATTAACATATGTGATCACAGAAACTACATCAGCATTGAACTGGGGACTCCTGTACAGAAAAAGGCCCTGCCACTTGACTGCATGGAGCCTACGAAGCAGGTGCTGGGTGTCAGCAGGTTGGAAGGCATGCTGTCCCCTCACTTACCACACCTCTAAAAGAATATGCAATTCCATTGTTTGCCTTTAAATTTTAGATATCAGGTTATAAAGATTTTATATATATATATATATATATATATATATATTCCATAACCTCATCTATGATGTTCTAAGCAGTACATAAACTAAACATTATTCCATATTATTTATTTATTTATTATTTGTTTCTATCCTGCATCACTGGGCTATCCAGCCTCTGCACTGGTTCCTGGCGATACATGCAGTGTCAGTCTTGGGCTCCCTCTTGTGGCATGGTTTTAAATAATAAGTGGGTTCAAGCTCTCTTTGAACCAAATATTGAAGATTCTGGTTGGGAAATCCTGGAAATTCCTCCCTGAACTTTTACACCACTGTTGATTTACTTCTGTGACCTAATGTAATGGTTTTGGTTTCTCTGAACTTCACTCCACTATACAAATTACAGTGCTTTTCATCATTTGCTCACTTGGGGAAATTCAGAAAGCCTCACAGGACTACAGGAGGATATAAAGGAAAAGAGGTAGAATACTTCCATCCATACTGACCAGCAACAGCAGGTAAGAAGAGACACTTAACCTTGCTAAGTCTTGAGAATTCTGCTTCAGAATTTGTGGTCACAAGCCTGCGCAGGAACGAGATGGATTTTTTGAGGGTTAACTCACTTTTTAAAACTACTATGACTAGAAAAGTCTGCTCCTGAGCAGGATTGGGGCACAGAGGCCGATAAATCCTGGGAGATATCATCAGGGCAGCCAGACTGTAAATGCCACCACTATTCTAATTTTGAGTTAGAGACAAGGAGACATGTGACTGCAACAGGGCAGGATATACATTGAGACCGTCTTCCTTGGTGTTCACCTGTCTGTGCTGACGAGGACACAGTGAAATGACTGTGGTCAGCATGGAGCCGAACTGCTGCTGAAAGGGCTGCCTGTGACTGATACCAAGAGGGAAACAGAATGAGGCGTGGGAAGAGCAACCGCCTTGGTGAAGGACAAAGAGAGGGAATGCTGTGTTGCTGTAGGAACACAAAGTGTGTGAAAGATGTGGTCTATTCTGTAGCTGACTATGGGTGACCACTGGCCCCAGAACACAAGCTCAGCTTATGACACAAAGCATGTTCCAACTTGGCAAATTTCTTGAAGTTTCTGTAGCAATAGGATAAAGAAAGTCATAGATCAAGGTGTTTTTAAGATACATTGGTGGCAATATGGGACAGGCAGATAATGGCAGTTTGGTGGAGATTGTTACAGGCCTTCTCATACAAGAAATGGACACGGAGGCAGCTAAAAATAACCTAGGAAATTCTGGCTCTAAACACTGCAGCATTCCAATCTCCACGATCATACAAAATTCTAATTAGTCAGTCATCCTTGTAGGTTCATTGACATAGTTATGGATGTTTTCTGGGAACCTCAGTTCACAGCTGAAACCCAGAGTGAGAGATGATGGAGGTCAGTCACCATCACATATGATCATGGCGGTCAATTGAATTTCCTCCTTGATTGACTCATTAACTCATAAGATTGGTTCATTCCCCATGTCCTTGGACTCCTTAACTCTCCCCTGAAGGCTCAGACCCTATACAGAACTGAAGGGTTTTCTTAGAAGATTCCTGGACACACAAGACTGAGGACAAAGTCTGATTACCTTGTCCCCAACTCCAGGCCCTCAGGTACTTTTTTCTGTCTTCTAGAAACAAGAACCTTAGTCCAGAAACCATTCTCACTCATCACATTTTCTTTGACAGCTTTGCTCAGCCTGGTCATACTATGACTCCCAGTGTTTCTCTTCCTTCTCTTTGCATTTCTCATTTTTTTTCTACCAGATGAAAACTATATAGAAAACTTAAGGAGAATGGCACAAAGTCATTATTTGAACCATCAGCTCCCCAATTTCTCGCGATTTACAACACTGTTGCATTGTGCAATATTCAGTATTTGCATCGTTTGGTATAGTCTCATTTGCTGTGAGTCTAAACCCAGTTTTTATTCATTGCTCTTTCATAGTTAATGAAGCTTAATTTTCAAGGCACTGCTCTTGTGAAGCCATTTGTTTGGAATAAACACTGTCACATCTACAAGTTTTTCAAAAACCACATTATGTTGGTTCTTTTGCTGGAATGACAATGCGATTAATTCTGTGGATAGGGACTATATGTCACATGAGAATAACTACTAGGATAGATACTTTGGATACACTGTATAATCTCTAGAAATTCTAGCCACAACATGGGTATAACTATTCAGATGCACAGAATAAATATATTTTATAACATCTAGAAATCATTGTAAGGGCATGAATCAAACAATGAAGCATTAACTCCATAGGTCTCTATTAGTTAGAATGGTAAACTAATGAATAAATGAATATTTGACTAATTATATTTGTATTGTGAACAGGAGAATGTTGTCACGGTCATATTGTAAGTGAAATTCTTCAATAATATCTTATATGATTCTAATATCACACAGGTTACTTTCAACTATGTGCCTGATGCACAACAGTGCTGTGTTTTCTTGTGAGTTTCATACTCTTCCTTCTAAGAGAAAGAATAAGACTCTAGCTAGTCTCATCTGTCCCTCTATACACAGGGGACAAGTCAGCGCAATGGCCACGGAGGTCCACATGCCAGGACCCATGTGCCTCATCGAGAATGTGAAAGGTCAACTGATAGCCAACCAGGAGGCTCTGGGAATCCTGTCTGACATCACACAGCCTGTGGTAGTGGTAGCCATTGTTGGCCTCTACCGCACAGGTAAATCCTACTTGATGAACAAACTGGCTGGGAAGAAAACAGGTGAGTGACACCAACACAGCTGTGCTGGGTCCCAAGAGTACACTCACACTGTCTGCTTCCTGAATGAATGTGTGAAGAATTTAATCTTCTTGTTGCAGTTGGATGTTCAGAATATTTTTGTTGCTGTTACTTTGTTTACTTTTATTTTTGAGACAAAGCCATGCTGTATAGCACAGCAGGCCTTTAGCTCAGCATATAGTCCAGGCTGGCAATTATGTCATGATCTTCTAGCCTTGGCCTCATGGGACCTGATTACAACATGTATCACCACATCTAACCGGTATTTTCCCTTCTAAAAGTGCAACTGGTTACTTTCCTAGATGGAGAAAGGCAGTAATAAAGGTAATTTATATGATAATAAACTTTAAGGTATTGCTAAAACTATCATAGAATGACATCAAATTTCTACTGATCTTTATGGTCAAAAGAGGCTGTTTATACTGTTTATATAATACTTATTGACTTTTTTTACTATGCTATATTATATAACATTTGTCCTTATAACTGTGTAGTATCCAGTTCTGTGGTATTACACAAAACTGTGCATCTATGTATCTCCACCACTGATCTCTAGAAATAGCTCATTGCCACCTGCACCGCTATTCTACATGCTTTATCTATGGATTTGGCTGTCCTAGTAATCTCATATAAGTAGAGTCATAAAAAATGTTGATTTTTGTGACTGGTTCTTTCGTTTAACATGACACCTTCAAGGTCTGTCACTATGAGAAAAGCGTTTCAAAAATCTTATCCTCCACTCACCTGTAGACAAGACAGGTGAGTGCTCTGAATGATGCTGGCATGAATATAGTTATAGAGACACCGTTTTAGTCGAGGCTTTCAGGTTTTCTGGGCTGTATTCATCTCATCACTGATCAAATGCCTGATGAAACAATAAAAGGAAGACACAGTTCAGGGGATATTAATTCACTATGGGAGGGGAGACAGGATTATACCTTTAGTGGTAGGAGGTTGTGTCTTGTTCATGCCGTGGCTGATCAGGAAGCAGAGAGTAGAGGGCCATAAGCAAGGCCAGCAGTAACCTCCAAAGGCTCGTCCTTTGTCAGCCAAGTCCTACCTCCTAATACTTCCATATGTGCCACTAACAGGGGACAAAGTGGTCAAATACATGGACCTGTGAAGAACATTTACCTTCATACCATAACATTCTACTCCTGGCCCCAAAATGCTGTGGCTGCATCTTCAAAAATCCCCACAGTCTTAGAGTTCTAGTATCAAAGTCCACCATCCCATCTGAGATTCAAGGCAACCTGTAACATACAATGGCACAGAACAAACATTCCCATTTACAGCGTTCAGGGGGATAGGAAGGACAGAACACACCTTAGCAAGACTCAACCCAGAAGAACAATACGAAACGCTGTAGCTCCACGTGCAGTATATAGGATATGTGGTGTCCTCTTGTAGGCATCAGCTTGTAGACCCTGTCTATCAGGCTCTGCTGTTTATAAGACACGAGTGCTCTCTTTAGGGCCAGGTCCACACATTGACTCTAGTTTTCCCCAGTGGACATCCCATAGTCTTGGCATCTCTAAATCTCCCGGTCTCCATTGTTGCTTCAGCTTTACTCTCACAGTCCCCCACCCAGAAAGCTCAGGAGCTGCACATGAGAGACTGACCCTGCAAACCATTTCCTATGTGGCCCTGGTGCAATTTGGAGGTCTTGTGACTTGCATCTGCATATGTGAAAACTGAATTTATGTTATGTCTCCAATTGTGATATCAGTAAATCTTTGGTTTCAGTTAATTCTCCTGACTTGACTGTGCTGATTTTTCTTTTTTCTTTTTTTTTGGTTTTTATGAGACAGGGTTTCTCTGTATTGTTTTGGAGGCTGTCGGTCCAGCCCAGCCTCGAACTCACAGAGATCCGCCTGCCTCTGCCTCCCGAGTGCTGGGATTAAAGGCATGCACCACCACCGCCTGGTGACTGTGCTGATTTTTCAATAGAGATTTATTTTAATTTTGCAGGCATGAGTATTTTGCCTATGTATCACATAAATGCCTGGCATTCACAGATGCTAGAAAGGGGTATAATATTCCCTGAAACTAGAGTTATACACAGGAGTAAGCTGCTATGTAGGCTCTGAGAACTGAAGTGTGGTTCTCTACAAGAGCAGCAGGCACATTTAGCCACTGAAACATGTTTCTAACTGGATTGTCCTAATTTTTATCACTTCCAGGAAGCTCTTATTCCTACACATCTAATCCTCTTTTCTCTTCTCTGCTTTGCAGGCTTCTCTCTGGGCTCCACAGTGCAGGCTCACACCAAGGGGATCTGGATGTGGTGTGTGCCTCATCCCAAGAAGGCAGGCCACACACTGGCTCTGCTTGACACTGAGGGCCTGGGAGATGTTGAAAAAGTAAGGACTGGGGGCAGTTTCCAATTCCTTCCCTGATCTCTGAATAGTCTACCCTGTTTTCCATGCTGCTTTAAAAACCTTATTATTAATTGGATCCTTTGGTGTTTTGGAGACTTGCTTCTTGAGTTTTTTTGTAAATTTTGAAGATCAGCCCTATGTCAGATGTGGGGTTAGTGAATATCTTTTCCTATTCTGTGGGCTGCCTTTTTGTCTTGTTGACTGTGTCCTTTGCCTTACAGAAGCTTCTTGGTTTCAGGAGGTCCCATTTGTTAATTGTCTATGTTAGTGTCTTTGCTACATGTGTTATGTTCAGGATAGAGAATTCTCCATAGTGGAGTCTAAAATGACTGACAGACACTAAAGAAAATGCTCAACATCCTTAGCCATCAAGGAACTACAAATCAAAACAACTTTGAGATACCATCTTACCCCTGCCAGAATGGCTAAAACAAAAAACACCAAGGACAATTTATTCTGGAGAGGATGTGGAGAGACAGGAACATTCCTCTACTGCTGGTGGGAGTGCAAACTCATACACCCACTTTGGAAATCAGTATGGAGATTCCTCAGGAAAATGGGAACCAATCTGCCACAAGACCCAGCAATTCCACTCTTAGGTATATATCCAAAAGATGCAAATTCATACAACAAGGACATCTGTTCCACTATGTTCATAGCAGCATTATTTGTAATAGCCAGAACCTGGAAGCAACCTAGATGCCCCACAACTGAAGAATGGATAGAGAAAATGTGGTGTATTTGCACAATGGAGTACTATTCAGTGGAGAAAAAACAATGGAACCTTGAAATTTTCAGGCAAATGGATGGTAACTAGAAGAAACCATCCTCAGTGAGGTAACCCAGTCACAAAAAGACAAACATGGTATGTACTCATTCATCTATGGATTTTAGACATGGATCAGAAAATTGCCAGCATATAGTCCCACTGCCAAAGAGACTAGGAAACAGGAAAGAACCTGAGAGAGATATGCATGGTACCCTAGAGAAGAGGAATGAGGCAAGATCTCCTGAACAGATTGGGAACATGGCTGGGGGGTGGTAGGGGAGAGGGAGCTGGGAAGAAGAGAGGAGGGATAAGAGGAGGAGAGAGTGGGTCATGGGGGAGCAAGAAGGTTGAGTTGGGGGAATAATAGGGGAGAACATGATGAGAGATACCATAATAGAGGGAGTCATTATAGGTTTAAAGAGAGATTTGGCATCAGTGAAACCTCTAGCGATCTACAAGGATGACACCAATTGGCAAACTAAGCAATAGTGGAGAGACTACCTTAAATGCCCATTCCTGATAATGAACTTGATGACTGCCTTATATGCCATCCTGGAACCTTCATCCAGTGAATGATGGAAGCAGAGGAAAACACCCACAGCTAAACACTGAACTGGATCCCTGGAGCCCAGTGACAGAGAGAGAGGAGTGATGAGCAAATCGGCAAAGAATGGGCTGGCAAAACCAGCAGAAACAGCTGACCTGAACAAGGGGGAGCTCTTGGACCCCTGACCGACAGCTGGGAGGCCAGCATGGAACTGATCCAGACCCCCTGAGTGTGAGAGTCAGTGAGGAGGCCTGAGCAACCTATGGGGGCCTGGGCAGTAGATCAGAGTTTATCCCTGACATACAAATGGACTTCGTGTGTCTATAACACAAGGAGGAATGCTCTCTCAGCTTGGACTCTTAGGGGAGTGCCTGGACTCTGCCCTGAACAAAATGACAGACTCTGGATATCCCCTATGTGGAAGGGAGTGGGGATGGGGTGGGAGGTTGGGGGAATGGTGGGGGGATGCACGAGGAGGGGAGGGAGAGGGAGCTGGGATTGACATGTGGAGCAATATCTATTCTAAAAAATGTAATAAAAATAATGAAAAAAGCAACAACAAAAACCCTTATTATTTATGTATTAATTTAGTGTGTGTGAGCATCTGCCTACACACGCATTGCATGTGCCCTGATGGATGTGCCATTATGTAGATGTGAAGGTTAGAGAAAAGCATGTGGGGTCAGTTCTCTTTTCCACCATGTGGCTTCTAGGGATGGAACTCAGGCTCCAAGGCTGGGTAGCAAGCATTTTTACCCACCAAGTCTTTCACTGAGACTGTCAGTTTTCAATAAGAGTTTTAACTCTAACATAGCATCCTTTTGATATTTATTATATAACATGTGCTATGTTTAGCCTACAATAATGAGGGAGGTTGTCACAGGACTGGGTTGCAGAACATCAGGGTGGTAGCTAAAATTAACAGCAGGCTAAGCAGCACCAGGAATGATCATCACAAATAAAACCAAGAGTCACAAGAATGTTCATCCATCAAGAGCTGTGGATGGCATCCTTAGGTTTTAGTGTTCCTTTTGTTTTGTATATTGTATTGCTGATCTAAAAAGTGACATGAGAACATGACAAACTCCTGACTCATGTGTGTTCTGACTTCCAGGGTGACAATCAGAATGACTGCTGGATCTTTGCCCTGGCTATACTTCTAAGCAGCACTTTTGTGTACAACAGCATGGGAGCCATCAACCAGCAGGCCATTGACCAGCTGCAGTATCCGTTTTGAGGTTCAAAATGACACCAGAAAGAGTGGGGTGACGTAATGTCATGAACCAGCTCCATAATTCTGGCTCTTGCTTAATGAAATAACAAACAAACAAACAAACAAACAAAACCCTTGCATATATTACCTATAGTTCACACTCATGTTAGGCACTAGACAAATGAAGGGTAAGGGCTAGGTTCCAGGAAGATGTGGGATTATGTGGAATGGGGACCATGAAGTTTCGGTTGGTTCTGTGGTTGTTTTGTGGGATTTCCTTAATGAACTTGCTCAGCTATGTGACAGAGCTGACAGACAGAATCAGATCAAGGTCCTCACCTGAACAGGATGAGGTGCAGGACTCACATGAGTTTGTGAGATTCTTCCCGGACTTTGTGTGGGCTCTGAGGGACTTCTCTCTTGAGCTGAAAGTAAATGGGAAACCCATCTCTGCAGATGAATACCTAGAGAATTCCCTGAATCTTAAACATGGTAAGAGACCTAAAACTGCCAAATGAGGATGTCAATTAATCCTCTCAGAATTCAGATTTTTCTCTGTATAGTTTTCATGTATCTGCAGTTTCTATTTCTTCTAGCTAGCTGCTCCTAAGAATTAATACTTAATATATGATTTAAAAGATTGACTCTCTTTTCACTAAGAACAAATGTATTTGTCTTTCATCTTTCCCTGTATACTGATTTATTCCATCTCTCTTATTAAGATTTGTTTTTGTATTGAAGCAGGGAATATAGTACATATGAAGATATATTTGAAAATGGTAAGTTGTTAAAAGTATTATAGTACAAATGTTGGAAAAACGTGACCCCCATCTTCCAGTTGTCTTTGGAAATCAAATGATACTGTACTCTTGAGTTTACGTATACACTAAGTGGGTTGAATACTTAGAATGAAGTATTCTTTATTTTGCAAATAAGCCCAACAAAGCAGTAAACCTTTTGTTAGCCTGAAAATCCTTAAAGCAAGCACAACTCCTCTTTTCTGTTTTTTTGCTTTGTGTTTTTAGGGTCTCATTGTCTGACCCAGGCTGGCCGGCCTCAATTTATAATCCTCCTACCTCAGCTTCTATTATGCTACAAAAGCTCATGTGACCAAATTTAAAAATGTATACTCACCTTCCATGTCCTTGCTGAAAATCCTGTTTTTGCTCTATTTAGGTACTGGCCAAAAAGATAAAGTAAAAGTGTTAAATCTGCCTCAGCTCTGTATCCATAAGTTCTTCCCAAAGAAGAAATGCTTTGTCTTTGAGCAGCCAGTGCATGGGAAGAAGCTTGTCCAGCTGGAATCGCTGCAGGATCAAGACCTGCACTCCAACTTTGTGGAACAAGTGGCAGAGTTCTGTTCCTATTTGTTCAACTCTTCCAAGGTTAAAACACTTTCAGGAGGCATCAAGGTCAATGGACCACGTGAGTCTCTTCCTAGTCCTTTTGCTCACCATTTAGGCCACATTACCATGAGATAGCCATGACCAACTTCAGCTTTGATTTTCTTGTTGGGAAGAAGGAAAAGGGTGTAAAAGAAAAAACGTTTTAAATTACTCTAGAAAACTGCATTCACCAGACAGCAACTAAACAAGGGTGGCTCTTCAAGTTTAGGTATCAGTACATAGAATCCACACAGAGCTAGTCATTTTCACATCAGCATACACGTAAAGTTTTATTGGGTAAAGCAATTTATTCTAATCAATCTGATGGAGAATTTTGACTGCGAGTGTATGTTTTATTACTAAATTAAAATGCTTACCATGGACAGGGCTAGTCACACAGACAAACATGACAGGTATGGAGCCTGTTCTCATGGTGCTTGCAATGAAAGGGACACAAACGTTCCACAGACACAAGCTCATGTAATCTCCATCCAGCATTCTTAGCCTTTGGGCTCTCACATCTCATGAGAGTATCTTTTCACAGAGGAAGGTATAATCTCATCAATGTGAGGTAGAGGCTGGAATGTTTCTGTCTGTCGTTTTTCCAAATGATGCTAAGGACACTGATGTTTTAGCTTATCAGTAACTGACATGCAGAATTAAACAGTGCAACATGTATTCTTTCTGCCATCTGCCTGGGCCCCACACACGAGACAATATATTATTTATGAAGCTGTTGGCTGTTTACTATGGGTTCTTAATGGCTAGCTCTGACTCAATTATTAACCCATAATTACTAATACATATTTTTATAAGGTCTTATCTTACAGAGAACATCAGACTTGTGTTCTGTCCTCCTGGGATCACATGGAGACTCTCTACTCTTGACTACATTTCCCAGATTCCTACTTGACTCCTAGTCCCACCTATCTTGCTTCCCTATTTGACAATGGTGCTTTATTTATCAACCAATTGGACAACATATACACAGAAAGACTTCCCCCATCCCAACAGAATAGAGTTGTTATCATCCATCTGTAGCAAATTTTGTTATCTGTTTTCCGGCTGCAGGACTAAAGAGTTTGGTGGTAACCTATGTGAACACCATCAGCAGTGGAGGTCTGCCATGCATTGAGAATGCAGTCCTGGCTTTGTCCCAGACAGAGAATGCAACTGCAGTGCAAAAGGCTATTGCTCACTATGACCAGAGGATGAGCCAGAAGTTGCAACTGCCCACAGAGACCCTCCAGGAGCTGATGAGCCTGCACAGGGCCAGTGAGAAAGAAGCCATCAAGATCTTCATGGAAAATTCCTTCAAAGATGTTAATCAAGTATTCATGACAAAATTAGTGGTAATTTTTCTCTCAAATTTACCTAGGTGTAGATTTTGGAAGGCAATTTGTTGTGAGTAAATGAAATCAGTGTTTGAGGCTGGCATATTTTACTAGATTTTAAAGTAGCAACAACTATTTCTTAATAATCATACTAAACAGCAAAAATGGATTATCATAGACTCAAATCTTTAAAATATTTCTCCTTTCAAAATAAGCTAGTAGCATTCACCCTTCATTGAATTAAGTACAGAAAAGTAATTTGTGTGCCTGATCAAGTTGCATGCCCAGTGTCAGTAGAGTGATCCAATGTTCAATCCAATAGCAAAGCTATTTAAGCTTGAGCTATCAGAAGCAAAGTAACATTGAGTCATGTTTATTTCACGTGGTATCTCGAGCCCAGTCTGAAATCAGTTTATCTCTAAAGCTGTAAACTCCACTGACAAGGAGCAAGGATGACATCAGTAAAAACCTGGCATCAGAGGAAACATGAAGGCATAGTCAGTGCTTATAAGTTTTCCTTTGCTTTTTTTTCTGTTTGTTTGTTTTGTTTTTCGAGACAGGCTTTCTCTGTATGGTTTTCGAGGCCGTCCTGGAACTCACTACGTAGACCAGGCTGGCTTCGAACTTGTTTTTGTTTTGAGAAAAGCATCATAAATTCTAAACTCAGGCTTCTTTCTTTTCTTAATTATGTTCTTTTCATTTTTAATCAAAGGCTGAGCTAGAAACAAAGCAAGAGGAATTCCTTAAGAAAAATGAATGGGCATCCTCAGATCGCTGCTCAGCTCTGCTTCAGGATATTTTCAGTCCACTAGAAGAAGATGTGAAGCAAGGTTTTTATTATAAACCAGGGGGATACCATCTTTTTATCCAGAAGACACAGGAGCTCAAGAAAAAATATTATGAGGAACCCAGGAAGGGGGTTCAGGTAACCAAGGTTATATGTGTGCTCTGGGAAGCTGCTGACCTCCTTCAGACAGCAGAGTGAACCCAAAACATCACTTAGTGTTTGCATTCCAGGCATATGCTCCTTCAACATTACATACGTGAAGGTTATCATACTTGATATGCCCTGCTTACTCAGAGACAGTGCACTCCCTTAACGATTGTTCACATGATAAACAACATTAACTACCAGTGTGACTGTCATCCTGTTTCAGCTAGATTTTTTTTTGTGTTACAAAGGACCCAATGATAGGCCCTTAAAAAAACTTATAATTCATCAGTTTGGCCTTGGAATTAGTTTTAATAGATAACTTGACATGGTAATATCATTCCATGTCTCTTTGTCTGTCACTCTTACCCAGCCTGATTCTGAAAGGGTCTGAGAATCTATAAATACTCCACCATAAACACAGGGTTTGCATAGGCCAAAAATTTATTTTAAAAGCCGATAAATCAGGGAGATGTCAGGTTTCTAATATGATATTTCTTGGCACTCATTTCTGCTCTGTAGCCTATCCCAATATAATAGGGGGGTCTGGGTTCAAGACACAGCCAATAGTTCTGTGTGAGATCTGGATAGCAGGAGTTTAAGATGTTGAATACCTACTATATATACTGAGATAAGGGCTGCAGGGCTCTCTTTGTTGGGCCGGCCTGGGACTGGAGTCTAGGTCACTGTCCTTCCTCCTTGAAGAGCCTGAGTAGGTATGGTGGTAGGGCCTAAAACCTTTCCCCCATATTGAACAGGGTTCAATATTCAGTTAGGTGCAATAGGTTCTAGTATCCATCCCTCCTGTGGGTGAAACTTCTGAATGCTGAAAATATGCCAGTTTCTGGGAGGACCGGGTTGAACATCCTGGGTCCCCAAGTCTTTCTCGCTGTCCAAGCAGTGGACAAACCAACATAAACCGTTATTTGGGCCAGGCTTAGCTTTCCCACCTGCTGGCCAGATCAGTGTCCCTCTCTTCTCATGTCATTGTCCCTTCCATACTTCTTTCCCCATGCCCCGTGTGTACTCACATCCCCAGGAGGGACAGTAATAATCTTCTGGTTCCCCACAATTTGGTTTGTCCACTGGGAAAGCATAGAATGAATTTCTTGCCAGGTCAGTCTACAGAAAGGGGTGCCCACAGCCGAAGTCTTAATACTCATAACTCTATCAGTGGGGCCCCTGATCCTTCAGGGGGCTTCCAACCAAGCAGGATGCAGAGATACACACGGAACATGGGGAACCCACATGTGGTAACATTTGCAATCATAGTCTAATCCCTACAGTGGGATATGGACCATGACACCAGGACTGATATATGTGGATTGTTGGCATTTATCAATTCCATTAGGGAGAATAGTAAAGTAAGGTAGAAATGAGTCTTAGCTATAGTGGGTCCTGTGGGTGGGGTCATATAGTCCATGTTTTGTTTTGTCCTCACTGGATCATGTGTCTGGAACTAGCTTTAAATGGGAGTGAAGTACACAGGATTTAATTTCATCTTCTTTCACTGCTGAGGGGTTGGTCAAAATAATGGTATGCGGTACCTTCTAGAGAGGCTGCAAACACTCCTTTTGGTGATTTCTGACCCAGGTAAGGTCTCCTGGTTTTTAGTTATGAGGTTTTGGGTGGGAGGTGGCAGCTCATATACGGGCATAGTGGCGTGAACAACATATCTGGGTGTGGGCCTCTGGTTTCAGTTGCACTATGATTTGGACTAAGTGCTGCGTGAATTCAGGGGTGTTATTATCTGGACACAGCAGTGTTAACTTTAATTGGAGCTTCTTCAGTAGAGGGATTTGCTTGACATTCCTTGTCTCCCTTCCCCTGTGGATTAAAGAGGTATTCTTCCCCCAGGCAAAGAGCAACAAATATTCCAGGGTTTGGAGCCTTCTGTGGGGAGAATTCTATGTTTATGGTAAAGTCTTTGAAGATCAGTTTTTGCAGCATATCTCACTCCAGGAAGTAATAAGGGCATTTCGATCACTATGAAGGAATGAGTCACCGTGCCTCTCCTTAGACTGACCTTTCTTACAGTAGTTTATGGGTACCCATGAACCTTTGGATGAAAATCTGTTGGGTGGGGTTAGTGATGCCCTGGCCTGGTGTCCATTAGGACAGCTACAAACATTCCTCTAGTTTGAGAGTTATTCTGGGCTCCAGGATGGAGACCAAGCCCTGACCTCCTCATTTTTCTTCAAGGTTGAGGACTTTACTGCTAATTTTTTTCTCTGACCAGTTGGGGCAGTCCCCGTGATGATGTCCAAATCCCTTACAAATAGGACACTCATTTCTTTGTAGCAGAATCTGTCCCCAACAGGTCTCCAATCTGTGGAGGCCTGCTTGCTTGACCATCTCCCCCTGCTGAGGCTCCAAATGATGCTGTAACGATAAGCGACACACTTACTGAAAGTAAAACTAAGTATTTATTGTAGAAATTACTCACAAGATACCAAACAAGTAACCCAGATGAGCCAAGTAGTTTTCCGCTGCCGAACCGGAAGCCGAACTCCGGGAAAAGAGACCAAGACTTCCTGTGTGCTGTCTTTTATGCCTTCCCCCGTAACGCCCCCTAGCCATGCCCAAAAGTGGGCCTGGCTAGTGACGTAGTTCACTGCCTACTCACGTATACTTTGAATCTATTTAACCCCCCTTTCTTGTCCCCTTCTCACTACTACCGACACCTTCCTCTTCCCAAGTAGCCCAAAGTACTTCCATGTTCTTTGGGGGTGAGTGTGTTCCAATGAGGAGTTTCATTGGGTTGTTCACAGGAGCATGGGCAAGAGTTAGAGGAGCATGTGCGTCTTACTGTTGTGCCCAAGTTGCAAAGTCCCTAGAGACTACCAGGAAGACAGACCCACCAAACTTCAAAAGCAAAGTTTAATGATTGTTCATCCACCCATGACAGGGACCCCGTTTGGCTAGCTATTGCAGCAGCCCCCAGAGCGAGTGCAATTCCCTGTTTACTGATAGGTTTTTTATTTAAATTTAAATTAGAAACAAGGTTGCTTCACATGTCAATTCCAGGTCCCTCTCCATTTCCCTCCCCTCCTCCCATGCCCTCCCACCAACCCCCCATACCCTTTCATTTCCCCAGGGAGGGTGAGGCCCTCCATGGGGGTGACCATAGTCTGTCATTTCATCCAGGACAGGGCCTAGACCCTCCCCCAAGAGTTCAGGGTGAGAGTGCACCTCACATTGTTGGATGGGAGTCCAAAGTCCATGTGAATACTCGGGATGGGTACTGATCTGCTGCCGAAGGCTCAATAGATTACCTAGGCCTCCTCACTGACACCCACATTTAGGGGGTCTTGATCAGTCCCATGCTGGATTCCCAGGCATCAGTCTGGGATTCCAGAGCTAACCCTTGTCAGGTCAGCTGTTTCTGGGGTTTAAGCCAGCCCAGTCTTAATCCCTTTGGTAATAAGTCCTCCCTCTCTCACTGGCTTTCTTGAGTTCAGCTCAGTGCTTAGCCATGGGAGTCTGCCTATTCTTCCATCAGCTACTGAATGAAGATTCTATTTCCCAGACTCTCTGGCCATGGGATTGTAGGCTGGCACTACCCAGATCTATGTCTAAAATCCATATATGAGAGAGTACATGCCATGTTTCTCTTTTTGTGACTGGGTTACCTCGCTCAGGATGGTTTCCTCTAGTGTCATCCATTTGCCTGCAAATTTCAGGATTCCATTGTTTTTTTCTGCTGAGTAGTACTCCATTGTGTAAATGTACCACATTTTCTCTATTCACTCTTCGGTTGAGGGGCATGTAGGTTGCTTCCAAGTTCTGGCTATTACAAATGATGCTGTTATGAACATAGTGGAACAGATGTCCTTGTTGTATGAATGGGCATCTTTTGGTTATATGCCTAAGAGTGGAGTTGCTGGGTCTTGTGGTAGGTTTATTCCCATTTTCCTGAAGAATCTCCGTACTGATTTCAAAAGTGGCTGAACAAGTTGGCACTCCTACCAGCAATGGAGGAGTGTTCTCCTTTTTCCACATCCTCTCCAGCATAAATTGTCCTTGGTGTTTTTAATTTTAGCCATTCTAACAGGAGTGAGATAGTATCTCAGAGTTGTTTTGATTTACATTTCCCTAATGGCTAAGGATGTTGAGCACTTTCTTGGGTACCTCTCAGCCATTTAGTTCTGTAGCCTACTTTTTAATTGGATCCTTTGGTGTTTTGGAGACTTGCTTCTTGAGTTCTTTGTAAATTTTGGAGATCAGCCCTCTGTCAGATGTGAGATTAGTGAATATTTTTTTCCCATTCTCTGGGCCTTCTTTTTGTTTTGCTTACTGTGTCCTTTGCCTTACAGAAGCTTCTCAGTTTCAGGAGGTCCCATTTATTAATTGTTGATCTCACTGTCTGTGTTACTGGTGTTCATAGAAGATGTCTCCTGTACCAATTCGTTCAAGGGTACCACCCACTTTCTCTTCTAAGAGGTTCAGTATGGCTGAAATGACGCTGTTTTCTTAATGTTAGATGCAGATGGAGTCAAAACAGCTATGTTGATATCCTATTTTTTCTGCTACTGGGTCTATAGGGAAATGGGTGAGATACACTTCCATCAATTGTTCCAAAAAAAGCAACTGTGGACTCCTTGGTTTCCTGTACTATATGAATGTGTTTGGACAAATTTGTGGGTTGCTTTGCAACCACCCAGAGACTACCCAATAAAGTCTGGAGAAAGACTCTCAGGGACTCTTTACCTCCACCTGAACTGGGGTTCCAGTCGGTCCACAGAGAAGGGAAAGCTGCTGCAATGGCAGCAGATGTAGTGGTTGACTTCCATCCTCTCCAGTTCCAGCTTCCTAGCCTCCCTCGATAGTCTTTCCTCTTTTCACTAAGAAGAATAGGTGAACTTCATTCCAGGTGTGCAAGGTAAGTATGCAAAATGGTTTCTAACAGGGACACCTTGGGGGCTTCTCACTGAATGTGAGAGTCTAGCTTTCCAGTTATAAATGTCACTACTACTGAAGGGAGTGTACACATAATAAGGTTCCAGGTTCTGGTTTCCCCATTGTTTTAATCCCCTGTATGTGAGGGGCCTGCCACAAGGGCAGGACATGGGTTCCAGGCATCCACATGTAGGCTGGTAAGGCATCCTAGAATGGGTGTGTGTAGTGAGGAAAGGGAATCAGAGTCAAAGGTGGATACAGTGTTGCCCTCAGCTTTTTGGTAGAAGGAAGGCAGGGAAAGACGTGGAGCCTGAGCAGGCCTATGAGGGAGACAGGCAGAGGCAACACTGGAAGCCTCTGAGTTCTCTGTTTCTTGAGTACACTCATAAAGAAGAGGCAGGAGGCTTCCTCATAGGGTGGTAAGATAGGAACCTGAGGTTTAACAGGGCAGACAGAATACATTCCATCTAATTAGGCTCACATTTGAGATTGGAGCTATTTTGGGTAGTCTTCCAAGTACAACACACAGGTCACTATATAAGGCATTTGGTCAAGGTGGTCAGGGCTGCCAAATATTCTTGTGTGGCCTGCAAGAGAAATAGAGAGGTTACAGTTGGGAGGTCAGTCGACTCCAAAAGAGAGCCACCTGAGCTGTGAGAGACTGTGCAGCTTTCCAGGGAAGACAGAATCTCCTGATGCCTGGACCTTCATCTTGAAGACTTTAAAATGCTGTAAGATGTGGTCTAGGGTGGAGTTAGAGTGGCACAAAGATGGAGTTTGCTCCATGATCTCAAAGTAAGAGAGGAGACAAATAGTGAGTATCCAAAGTGAAGCCGAGTTCAATTTGACAGAGATGGAGAAACCACAGTGACATAGACAGAGTCCAGGGAGACGGGGTATCAGTAGATGGTCCTGTTCAGAACTAAGTGGATCAGCCACCTCTTCAGCTGAGTCCCTCAGACCAGTTGCCCCAGATACTCCCAATGCCCAGAGGCCCAAGGAGATACTGAGATGATTCTAGTCTCCCTCTGGTCCAGGGAACAATATTGCACTCATTTTCTCCTCTCTTGGGTCCAAGAAAAAGATTTCACAGACCACAAAACCTCTAGTGCTTACCTCTGAAGATTGCCCCACAAGTCAGGAGTAGTCAACTGAGCCAGAGGCTCAAACCAGTGGATCATCAGATCTCAGACAAGGTCCCACATGTTAGGGTCTGAGAATCCAAAAATAATTCACCTCAAAGGCAGGATTTGAGCAGGATGAAAATTTATTTAAAAACCTGATATATCAGGGAAGGGGTTGGTTTTAGGATCCATACAATGTCCCCAAGGCAGGGGCAATAGTTTTAAGGGAGAAAACCAGAAAGAAACAGCTCCCAAGTTTCATTCAGTCAGAATGTAATATGGGAAGAAACATTGGTGACTTTCCACGGTAGTACACTTTTAGCTTATAAGGTATTCCTGTGGTTGGTTGTTGTGGCCAGTGCTGGGGCCAACCAATCAGAAGGGAGTGGCTTGTTTGTGGAGTAACCTTATTCTAGACACCTGTCAGGGGGTTGGGTTTGCAACTCAGCCTCAGAAAATTGTGGAAAACAGCTTAGAGAAGAATGTCCTGGGACCAAATGTAGTTCTTGCTGCTACCTAGGATCTAACAACAGTATCCTCTTTTAATCATTCCCTCAGATCTTTTTGTTCAATATAAAAGCTACAGCAAACTCATCCCATCTATCACCACAGCACCATTAATTCCAAAGTTAGAGTTCATAGTCTAGAAGGACCATAATTTTTTGTACAAAACAGGCTTGCAATAAAATAAGTCCTGTGGGGGTCCAATGAGTGCCTTGTACCTGTTTCTGTTCCAGGAATCTTAGCATCAAGAGGCATCACTATAGGAAATGGGGGTAGGGAGATAGACACAAATGTTTGTAGACATTCCTGAAGTTTACTTCATGTTCTCTGTACTTGAAGGCTGAAGAAGTTCTGCAACAATTTTTGCAATCCAAGGATGATGTGATTAGCACAATTCTACAGATAGACCAGGATCTGACAGAAAAGGAAAAGAACATTGAAGGTGAGGCACAAGTTAAGGAACTACATGCCATTGAAATCTGTGGAGTGCATAAATTACTTGTAAACCTGGGAGCTACAGCAGATCTAAAAGAACAAAACTGTGCCTCACTGTCTAGTATCAGACATGAGTAGTACTATGATGTCAGCAGTAACAATGAAGCAGGTGAGGAGGAGAGCATCACACGGCTCACTTACACCTTCCTTCTTGATTGCCTTCCCAGTGGAGCATGTGAAAGCTGAAGCTGCTCAGACTACAGTACAAATACAGCAGGAAATGCAGCAGAAGATTGAACAGCTACTGCATCAGAAAGAAAAGACCCATGAGGAGCACATGAAACAGTTGACTGAGATGATGGAGAAGGGACAGGCCCAGGTGAGAGAAATGCAACAAAAGAATGAACAGTTGCTGCAACAGAGAGAGGAGACCCATGAGGAGCGCATGAAACAGTTGACTGAGAAGACAGAGGAAGTGCAGATCCAGATGCGAGAAATGCAACAGAAGAATGAACAGCTGCTGCAACAGAAAAGGAATCATGAGGAGCGTATCAAACAGTTGACTGAGACGATGGAGAAAACACAGGCCCAGATGCAAGAAATGCACCAAAAGAATGAACAATTGCTGCAAGTGAAAAAGAGTCACAAGGAGCGTGTGAAAGAGTTGACTGAGAAGATGGCGAAGACACAGAATGATTATGAGAAAGTTTGCCAGGTATTTAAATTACTGAAGTTGTTGTCCATTTAAAAATATTTTAAAGGTGTGTGTGTGTGTGTGTGTGTGTGTGTGTGTGTGTGTGTGTGTTTGCACATGTTCATGTAGCATCTGTTAAGGCCCAAAGGGGGAGTCAGATTCCCTGAACCTGGAGTTATAGGAGCTTGTGAGCTCCCAGACTTGGTTGCTTGGAACTGAATTCCAGTGTGTAACACACTCTTTACTGCTGAATCATCTATCCAGCCTTCTGTTCTCTCCATTTCTCTTCATCTTTAAATGTAATGAAGCCTAAAGGTTGATCAAGCCTGCTCCCTTGTGCTGTTTATTCCTAAATACCTGCTTGATACTCTAATTCCCATGTCTGGTGATTAAGTTAGTAATGTTTAATGGTGTCATACTAAGTCATTTAGTAATTTATATGCTGTATAATTCAGCTATTCTCTTTGTGTTATATCTTTATTTCTTTCTTAAGACTCTGTGAACGAAGAACTAACCTATGACATAGGTTCACTTATGTTTAAAAGAATACACAGTCTTAGTACTTTGGGAAATGGAGGCAGGAGATTCAAAAGGTCAAAGGCATCCTCAGCTATATAGGGATTTGAAAACTGACCAGAGCAATAGCTTCTGTCTCAAAAAAACAAACAAAAACTAGCTATAAGATATGTACACTAGACTGAACTGGTTTTTCCATAGTGGAATTCACGAAGGTAGTTTTTCTTTCTCACATGGTAAGAGTTTAGTCCTAAGAGAATATTTATGAGGAGAGGAACTATTTAACTCTCATAAGTATGTGACAGTCTGTCTGTCCCTCCTCTTTCCTGTACTCTGCTCTCAATTTGTGTTTACTTGGGAGTTAGATGAGGAAATTCATTATCTTCAGTCTGGTACTCTCATATTCTTACCTATCATTTGTAACCCTGCTACAAATTTGTGAAAGCTCACACTAAATTTCCTTCCTACCCCTCCTCTTTTCTCTCTCCTTTTCTCTCTCTGAGTGTACACATGCATGTGCATGTTAGTGCTTATCCATCTCTGCCCATGGATGTGAAAGCCAGAGATCTACTTTCAATTTTCTCTGTCATCCCCAATTTATTTTTTGAGACAGGTTCTCTTACAGAATCTCGAGCTCACTCAGATAGTCTTTCTGGCTAACATCTGTTAAGTTTCAAGGATCTGTGTATATGTGCCTTCCACATCTGGTATTACAGAACAGTGCTGTATGTAGCTCTGACATGGATACCTGAGACTCCAGCAGAGATGTTCCTGACTCAGGCACACCCCCACTTCCAACGCAACTATATTTCTTAGAGAAAGATTCAAAGCCTTAGTGAGATACTCAGAATTCATTACTGTGTTGCATGTTTATATAAGGGGTGAGTAGGAGGTTGTATTAAAGTCTATGGCAATAAAATTTGAAGGCAAACACATGCTTTCCTCAGAGGTTATTGTCAACGATGAAAAAAAATCAACATTGGTAACTTAGGTTCATCAATGGAACTGTTTCTTAGCTAAAATAACCCCAAAGAAAAATGACCACAGCTGCCTAAGAAAAGGCACATTTTGGGTATGAGGCTAAAGAATTCCAAAAAAGGATAAGCAAAAGCAACACACTGAACGTTAAATTTTACTTACAAATAAAACAGTTTAAAATTATAATAAAACTTAAGATTTAGTAAATTTTAAGAAGTTAATAAAGATATTATTATGGAAACCACATAGAACATAAGGATCTACTCAATGTAATGAATCATCTCTACTTGTCACTTTTTAGCTTTATTCACAGGAACGGGAGGAAAATATAAAACTTAAAGAAGAATTAAGACATTTGAAGGAAAAGCGATGTTTCATAAGCTAAAGGCCTAAAGAGCTGAGCCACTCTGCCATTCGAAGAAGAGCTGACTAGGGTACAGAACTGGGAAGAAGAGTGACTCTAGTTGAAAAAAACTGTGCAAAAATATTTAGCGTGAATTTTGAAATCAAATTTATCTTCATATAAGTTTGTGCATCAAGAATTCCACTGACATCTTTACCATAGAGGATGTACCAACAGCACTACTCAGCAGGAAGTACTTTTTTCAGATGATCTCATGGATACAAATGAACACTTAACACATTCTTAATCATTGGCCCATAACTTGGAACCAAGTTGTCCAGGACTGTGGTAGGTCAGAAATAGCCAGCTTCATTTCCTACAATGCAAAGTTATCCATTATATCAAAAGTGTTCAACCTTTCAGCAATGGTTTGATTTGAGAACACTGATGATGGATAACCCTATCGACACATTATATTATAAATCAAGACACCTGCATGGAGACCTATAGTACTATGTATATTATCTACAACAAAAGAGAAGAAGCCATTAAGCATGACAAGAAGCTGAATCACAGGTCCAGGGAATGTTTCAGTTCATGTAGATTGACGCTGTAATGGGACATTCCTAAGTTTTAACTGTTGACACTGATTATGTACTAAGATGATGAACTAAGCATAATGTAGAACAGTAACTTTAAGGATGGATTTTATATGATGATCGGTGATCTACAGATATCAAAGGTATTTGAATGATTTATCTGTAACCATAAACTTACACTACTCTTTTCCTATGATTAGCAGCTGTATGTGAAATCCTGTTGATTTTTACCCAAGAAGAATAAAGATTATTTTCCCCTATTTCTGATCAGCTCTTTGTATTAATGAGTATATCTAAATATATCACAACTGCAAGAAGTGCAAAGTAAGTGGTTAACAGATTTTGACGGAATTGAGAACATTTGGGGGCTGTAGATCAGTGGGTAAACTGCTTGCTGTGCAAACATGAGGACATAAATTCTGATTTCATCACCCACATAGCAAACTACCTGGTGGTACACAAATGTAAGCCTAGCACTGAAGTTGGGGCAAGGGTAGATAGGATCACTGGGGTCTACTAGTCAGTCAGCACAGTCAACTCTCTGGGTTCACTGAGAGACCCTGCTTTAAAAGTAATATGGAAAGAAATTGAGATCAGGGCCATGCTGTTTTCTGGAAATGGATGCAACCAGATTTAATCATACTAAGGAAATTTAATCAGTCTCAGAAAGACAAACATACATTTTCTTTGATATACACCTCCTGACTGCCTATAGACGAAAGACCCCTACCTAGGGCCCCCTAGGAAAAGAAAAACAAGGCCAAGCTGTTGCCTAATGGGAAAACCCAGACCAGGTGCCTCGCCCTCAAACAGGATGTCAAACAGGATGTCTGTGATCACCAGAACAGTCATGGGACCCGGATAATAATTTCTGAAGTGTGCCAGGGTCTTTCATGAGGTAATACCAGGAAACCTAGTCTGTGGGAACTACCACTGCCCCCAAGATGAGCCAATGAAATACCTGTTGCTATGCTGATACTTATGTAACCATTAAAACTCTATAAATATTGTGCTCCCTGCAAGCCCAGTATGCTCTGCACCCAAGTTGCAGTAGCATCCGCAGGTGCCTGTGTACTCAATAAACCACCTCTTGCTTTTGCATCCCGTGGTCTGGCCCCATTCTTGGGCAGAGGGTTCGGTTCGGTGCCCGGTGCTTTGATGCCGAGGTCTTTCATAGAGACATATGACAAACAAACAAGATATGGTTTTATGACACAGCAGTGTATATAATAAATGTATGTAATGAAAACAATTTGTCATCAACAAAGACTATTTTTTAAAATAAGCATTTTAACAACTCCATGTAAATAACATTGACAATTCAGATAAGTCAACTCCTTCCTCAAAGAAACATAAAGCACTAAACTCGCTATATTGTTATTCTTGGGTTGCACCAACAAAATACTTCACAAAATCAATTGAAGGAAGAAAAGGTTTATTTTGGTTCATAGTCTAAGTGTACTGTCCATCCTGACAGGAAAATCATGGTAGCAGGAGTATGAGGAAGCTGGCCATGTTGCATCCATCCATGGTGAGAAGACACAGAGACATGAATACTGGTGGTTCAATCAATTGCTCCTTTTTGTTTAGACAGAAATTCCAGATGATGGAATTCTCTGACCTCAGCTAGGGTAGTTTCCACACCTCCATTAACCCAAACAAGAACCCCCCCCCACAGATATGCCTGAATGTGTGTCCCCAGGGTGATTCAAGATCTTGTCACATTAATTATCATTATTATTGTCATACTCTTTTAGGATAAACAAGGTCACCTGAATTATATTTAAATTTTAGATTTATAGTTTTTTAAAAAAATCTAAAAGCTACTTGTAGCTGACTATCAGGGTCCAGCCCCCAGTCAGCACCAGGGTATGTTAAAAAATCCACAAATGTGGCAAGAGTTAGACTTTTCTATCTGAGGGGGAAAAGATAAGGAAACACAGACACTATCTGGTGGTAACTTTCTATTTTCTTTATCTTGAAACGTCTTTTCTGAAAAATCTCTCTATCTCTCTTCCCAATGTTCTCTATTCAGCAGTTTCTCCCTAATTAGTCTACATGTTCTTCTTTGCTCTCTCCTTCTCTCTCTCTGCCCCAACTTTGCTGCCATCTTTCTTCCTCTTCATTGTTGCCATTTTGGTCGGATTGGGATGGGTCAGGTATTCTGGCACTGGAGTGGAAAGGTATCCTGGAGCTCGGGAGTCACAGAATACTAAGTGTTACACAGCTCAGTTGGAAAGGTATCTTGGAGCGCGGGAGCCAAGGACCACCACAGGTTTCAGTAAGCTTAGCAGCTTACAGCCTTGCCTCAGGGAAAGGCTTCCCCAGTGTATTGGCTCCATCCGGCAGGACAGGGTCTTCCAGCTGGGGATGTATGCCTAATGTAGCAGTTTTCCACTTGGCAGGAGGTTATTTGGGCAAAGTTGCTTCAGTTCAGCTCTGCTCCCAAGAGTGGGGAGCAAACAACTCTGCTCTGCCAAGGGGAGGTTTCCCAAGCAAAAGTGTTACAGCCCTGCTTGCACTGCTCACCTCTGCTCCGTTGCCCCAGCAGCAAAAGAAGATCTTCACCCAAAGCTCATTGAAGGGGTTTATTGGAAGGGAAGAATCCAGGAAAGTGGCTGCCCTCTGCCAGAGTGGCAGAGGACAGCCAGGCTGGGGGAACAAACACAAGCTGAACAGACACATGGTTTATTTAGGGCTTCCAGGGTGGGGATTGGTCAGATTTTAGTGCAGAGCTCAGATTGGCTAGAGTTCTGCTCAAGGATTGGTTAGTTTTCTGCACAGAGTCAGATTTGGCTCTGGTTTCAGCACCAATGTGTGTTTCTTTCTCTGGTCCTATTTAGCCTTTTGGCTCCAATTTTAGGGCCAGGGTGCATTTCTTTCACTGACTCTGATTCCAGGGACTGTAAAGAGAGGCTTTTTTCTTGAGAGAAGCCTTCCCGCCAGCCGGGTTCTAGAGCCGCATCAGTTCCAAATAAACACACAGGAGGCTATATTAATTATGAAGCTATTGCCCTTGCTTGTTTCTTACTGGCTAGCTCTGACTTAAGTAATTACCCCATAATTGTTAATCTAAGTATGTCTCTTACTGGAGAAGTTTCTGGGCTTCCTACCCCATGGCGGCATTACATCTCGACTCTCCTGTGTTTCTCCTTCCCAGAGTCCTCCTGGACTCCTAGTCCCTCCTATCTTGGTTCCCTATTGGCTCAACAGTGCTTTATTGACATTAGACTTCCCCAACAAGGGACAAAGTGTGTTCTTTTGGCACTGGTTTCAGGGTCAGGGTACATTTCTTTGGTTCTGGTTGCAGGGCCAAAGTGGTTTCTTTGGCTCTGCTCAGGGTGTGTTTCTTTGACTGGTCCCTTTTCCCTGCATTCATCCCTGCTGCTGTCTGCTGTCTCTGACGGTCTGCCTCCCCACATTGCTGCTGCCTCTGCCTTCTTGTTCTCTGCCTCACACTGCCTTCTCCCCTGGCTCTTCTTTCCCACAGCCCAATTCTGGACAATTATAAGTTACATTTTTAGGGCCTGACTCCTTCTCAACCCCCAAGGTAAGTTCCATAGTTTCTTTCAGGCTAGGAATGTCCTAATCACCAGGCAGTGAGCAAGTGGCCTTACATATAGTTGTAAGTCAGTGCCGGGTCCCAGGCAACAAGTAAACAATTGGCTGAACCTTGAGTTTTGGGAGTACATGCAGACTTAAGTTACTTTAAACTCTGACCTTGAATCAGCACAACACATGTGGAAATGACCTTGTGGATTTGTCTCCATGGATGACCAAATATTGTCTCCAGCGGTAACCAGCCTGATTTAAATTAGATCTGAAGTCTGAGTTAGCTTGTATGTATAAAAGACTGTTTGTGAGTGAAATTCCCATGCCTGTCTGAGTAATGTGAAATATCCTAGTATTATTTCTGTTCATCAAAATTACACAGCCTATGATCATCTTCCTGACCATACATGCTGACAAAGTATAAAACACACCACCAAAGGGATGTGGAAATATTTTCTTATTAAGAAGGCATAACAGTAGTACCTTAGAAAGTTATAGATACAGCCGGGCATTGGTGGAGCACGCCTTTAATCCCAGCACTCAGGAGTCAGAGGCAGGCGGATCTCTGTGAGTTTGAGACCAGCCTGGTCTACAGAACTAGTTCCTGGACAGCCTCCAAAACAATACAGAGACACCCTGTCTCAAAAAAAGTTACAGATACAACCATTCAGTCACCAAAGCCCTGGTTTTGTCCTGTCATGGTCCCCAATAGTGCCTGGTGAGTCAGCTTTGCCAAGTTTGACTTTTTAACACCAGCTGTCACTGTTGTACAGTCCAACCTCCATCTGCAACTACTTGTCTGGATCCAGGAGGCTTTCTGTTACTGCACATGAAAAGAAGAAATAATATAAATTCTATTGAGTTTCATTCAGAAAATGGAGGAGGAAGCATTTTCTAATTCATTACGTGAGAATAGCATTGCCTCGGTACCAAAGTCTGTTAAAAAACAGTACAAAGAGAAACCACAGACCAATATCTTTCATGAAATTAGATGCAAAACAACATGATAAAATATCAGCCAGGAAATCTACTAATGCACATCAGGCTTGATTTATCCTAAGGAAAATGAAGACAAAACATTTAATTCAATTCATTGAAAGCTTAAGAAGACTAAACAAAATGCTGGATTCCATAAACAATTACATAAATGTCCTGACAGGACACCCATAAAATAATCCCCAGAGCATTGCTTTTGGGTTTGGAGATGTTTGCTGCTTTTTGTTGTGTTTTTTGTTTTGATATAGGGTCTTTTTACATTGCCTGGGTTACCCATAAATTTGCACCAAATCTTCATTCTCCACGACCCAGGTATTGGGATTGTAGGTTATGCACCACCAAAACAGGTCAGATGGCAACTTCTTCAAGACACTAAAGAACAGTTACAAAAGCCTTCACCAGCATCACAGTTAATGAGACACTAAATGTTTGCCCCTTTGACCTAGGAAAAATCCTAGGGCTTCCATTCTCACCACTCACATTCAGCCTGACACTGGATCCTAAAGGCATGTGGATCAGAAATGATATGGCACAGGTATCTTTGTTTGCAGGCACTATTGCTTTGGAAATCCCAGGGATTCTACAAAACTATTCTGGCAACTAATCAGTGAGTTTCCCAAATCTGTGAATCCAGATTCACTGAGAAAATCTTTCTCAAAAACTAGGGTGGGAAGTTGCTACAGACTGCAGGTTTATGCAGTGAGAGTTCAGC